AATTAGCTCTGGGCTTTCTTTTATTTGATGTTGACAATTTTCACATTTGTTACAATTGGAAGGTATTTGATCACCTGACCATGCAAAATGTTGCAACATTAATTTTTGATGACAAATATATTTTTCATCACAAAAGAACATTATTTCTCTTAGTTTTTCAAGCCAGCTTGAAGTTGTGCTTTTCTTTCAACGGTTTCCTCTTCTCCAGAATATTCATGACCTTCAGCAATTATTGAGTATAGAAGATTGAAATCACTTTGTGAATAAAAGATAATACTTTTTGCAGAGGTACCATCTCTTGCTGCTTGACCACTTTCTTGGATATATTCTCTAAGGCCCATGGGAAAATCATAGTGCACTACCAACCTTATATCTGGAGTATTGATCCCCAAACCAAATGCATTAGTAGCTACCATTATTTTTGTTATTTCTTTTTTCCAATTATTAATTGCTAATTTTTTTTCTTCACCTAACAGCTTTCCATGGTAGCAATCTATTTTATAGTGAGCAAGCTTTTCAACAAGATATTTTCTGAGATCATCTACTGAATGTGGAGTAGCACAATAAATAATGCAACGGCCTGTTGAAATTTGATTAATTTCTTTTATTATTTCTTCATAGATTGATTCTTTTCTTACTTTCTTTTTATCTTGTACAATTGAAAATATTTCAGGTCGGATGAAAGAACTTGATCGAACCACAGTAAGATTTTCATTTGAAATGCCTAATTTTAAATACAACTTTTCAGCATCATTCTTGGATAATGTTGCACTTACTAACATTAAAGGTGATATAGAAAAATTGTTTTTTATGATCTTAGCAATTTTACCCCAACAATTTCGGAAATATTCTTGATCCAGCATGCAATGTACTTCATCAAATACAAATTGGACACCATCTACTGCAGCAATTCGTTCTATCATCTTTCTAAATCCTATATTGAGGGCAAATTTTTCAGGAGTCAAAAAAATAATTCGTGTCAACTTTAAAGCAATTTCAGCTGCTACCTTTTCTTGGTATAGATGTGAATTCTCAGTGGCAGCATATAAACCTGCACAAGGTATCCCCATGCATATTAGTTCAATTACTTGGTCCTCTATA